ACAATTCAGTTATGTAAAAGGAAAAAATTCTGTAAAATCTTCTTTTTCATCTCTTTATTTTCTATTGCTTCCAAATAAACTTTCAAATTTATCTGCTACTGTTGCAATGAATAAAACCTGAATATTATGAGTTAAAAATCAGATACCTCTATATAATTATACTTACCGTTAACCCCAATGATGATGATCATCGAATTCTGCGGTAATTTTGCGTTGCTGTCAAGAATATAGACAAATGGTAATAAGACCGTTGATTCAAGTTGATAATAACACTGTTCAAAATGTTGCTGCTTTTATGGTTATCAGATTAATCAACCAACCAATAAAGCCATTGAACAACGACAATAATGCTGTAAATAGTGAATGATTGTTATGAAATCCCGAACAATAAGGTAGACAGATAAGAAAAACGTAGCATATGCACATTATGTATTTGATAGCAAATACGTACATATCAAATGGCAACATCTTACAAGCAATGGCAACAATTTTATCCATTTATTTTGATACTTCATCTTTCTGTCAGCCTTTTTTCTTTTTTTTTTTGTTGCTTTAATCCTTCTTGTCAAATTAATCTCTTCTTGACAGCTTTTTGAATCAAATAAAGCAAGTTTTTTTTGGCCAAGTAGCAGTGAAAACAAAAAAAAAATATTTTCCCTTTTACCTATTTCTTTTATCTTTTTCGTTTTTGAGCAAAAAATAACCTTACCAAATAACAACTCATTACACTATAAATTGTTGTACCATAAAAACTAAAAAGTACACAATTTCTCATTTACTGACTGCGAACACTTTACCCATTTCTAAAACATTTTCCTCCCCGATCTTCCTCTCCACCGCCTTTCACTAATTTTTTCTTGCTTCTAACTTTTTTTCTAATAAGTCCACTAGCACTACATATGCCTAAGTATCTAGTGATAGTCTTGATTTGGCAGGAAAAATTTTTTAACCATTGCAACAACCAAATGATAGCAGTTTTTGTTGCTAACTTTATTAATATGAAATGTCGGGGAAAATTTGAAACTTGAGCTAAAAAACAACAACAACAACAACAACAAAAAAAATTCCTTTTGTTGAACAAATGAATAAGTTTTTGTGTCCTAAAAAAAGTTTAAAAGGAAGTTTCTACACTTTCTACTCCTTCCCTTCACTCTCACTTCCTTCTTTTCCATTTACTTCTCTGCTTACCACTTTCCTTTTTTTTTTCTCTCAGGTAATAAGGCACCACCAGAATTAAACAAACTTAGCTCCCAACTTCGGTTTCTTTTTTAAACTTGGCGTTCATTTACTTTGTTGATAAAGTCCTTGAGCTCGGTTCACGCATCTGCAGCAATTTCAAATTTGTTTAATCGCTTTTTCCCAACCTTCTAAGAATCCAATGTTAAAGTGTCATTCTGACCGTATGCAATTCTGTAACAGCTCACCAGTTCCAGTAATATAACAGAAAATGTTATCGTTTATTAAGTGTATAGTGTTCAGTTTAATTCCATCTGGTGTTTATTTCTCGTCTTACTGCCAATTCATTTCTACCCATTTATCAGCGCTTAAGTCACACTGTTTTTGTAATGCACATTCTTCTACAAGAGAAACTGAGAACAGCAATCCCGCCAATTATGCACCAAATTACTGTGTTCAAAGTAGTTTTATATGAATGACTTGAAATGGTCAAAATAGAAAAAAAAAAAAAAAAA